TGGACCTTCTGCAAAAGTGACTGGTTCTCTGAGTCTCTCACAAGTGGTGCCTCTGGTCATGCGCAGAGTGCATTTGCTGCATCTTGAGGAGCAACCCCCCCCAATCGGTCAGGAGGTTCGGGGTGCAGAATCCAGAGGTCCACGTTTTCCCAACCAGGCACCAGAGAAGGAGGTCCAGCATTCTCGACTGTTTTAAAGCTCAGGATTGGAGCAAGAAAGGGAGGGAAGAGGGAGCCTCTGAGCATGTGCAGTGTGCCTTTACAGGACTTAGCTGGCCTGGGCTTCCAGCTTCCAGGAAAGGTGCTAACAGGAGGGTCTAACCTACTGTTTCTCAATCTTGACGGCTTTCAGATGGCTGGACTCCAACTCCCAGAATTCTCCAGCTGGCTAGGGAATTCTGGGATTTGGAGTCCGCCCATCTGAAAGCTGCCAGGATTGAGACACACAATTATTTTGGCCCTCTCCTTGTTTTAACAGTGAAGCATCAAGTCGGGTGTGACTAAATTGTGAGTAGGTGATGTTTTGACTTGAAGCTAATCCAAGTGCCACCGTGACCTCCTATTGTGGTTTGTGGCAGGCAGCGGGTTGGACTAGATGATCTGCCAGGCCCCTTCCTGGGCTTATTATAATCGTAGGAACCACCCCTTCTGTTCGCTGAAACCACTGCTTTTCTATCCATTGCAACTCAAGATGGACTTGTGCGCATACACACAAACACACACACAGCCTGTCACGCGAGGAAGCCACGGGATCGAATCCAGCTGCAAATGTGAATCAGATCTTTGCTGATTCAGTCACAACTCCTTGCTAAATATCTGTGCTCCCTGGCAAAGCAATCCCTTTCCAAGTCAGTCGACTCTGCGCCTCTTGGATTATTTATGAATAAAATTTCCTCCGAGGACCTATTTATCCTGCGTCCTCCAGAAAGAAAAAAAAGGGGAATATTATACAAGGGGGAAAAAAAAATAATACACTACAACAAGGAACGTAAACAGCATTTCTGGTGTCTGATTTGAGCACCTGTATTTCAGTTTGATCCGTAGGTAGGTTGGTTATTTGTTATCTTTTTAACCCACTCAGGAGGAAGGTGGGTGTTCTGGAAGATTTACAAAGCTATTCAAAGAAGGGGAAGAACTGAAAATTGCAGACGGCTTATTTCAAAACATCAGAAAGGGGGGAAAAAACAACGCAAACTGTATAAAACCCACGAACCTGCTTTAAAGCGAGGGAGTGAAAAACTCAGAACTGAACTGATTTCAGCATTAACTTTCAACATTTACAAGGCAAAATATGATGGATTTGTAAGCTTTCCCTCTCAATCAGGCCATGTCGGTTAACCCCGAGTTTCTCAAACTTGGCCACGTTAAGAGGTGAGGACTACAACTCCCAGAAATCCCCATCCAGAGAGAGACCATGAATTCAAATTCTGTCTTAGACATGAAAGCCACCTGGGTGATTTTGGGCCAATCACCAGGAGACAGGGAGTTCTAGTCCTGCCTTAGCCATGAAAGTCAGCTGGGTGACTTTGAACCAATCACCAGGTGACAGGGAGTTCTAGTTTTACTTTTGACATGAAAGCCAGCTGGATGATTTTGGGCCAATCATCAACAGACTGGGAATTCTAGTCCTGCTTTAGGCATGAAAGCCAACTGGGTGACTTTGAACCAATCACCAGGAGACAGGGAGTTCTAGATCCACCTTTGGCATGAAAGCCAGCTGGGTGACTTTGGGCCAATCACCAGGAGACAGGGAGTTCTAGTGCTGCCTTAGCCATGAAAGTCAGCTGGGTGACTTTGAACCAATCACCAGGTGACAGGGAGTTCTAGTTTTACTTTTGACATGAAAGCCAGCTGGATGATTTTGGGCCAATCATCAACAGACTGGGAATTCTAGTCCTGCTTTAGGCATGAAAGCCAACTGGGTGACTTTGAACCAATCACCAGGAGACAGGGAGTTCTAGACCCACCTTTGGCATGAAAGCCAGCTGGGTTGACTTTGGGCTAGTTTCTTTTTCCCAGACGAGCCCTCCTCACAGGGTTGTTTGTGTGGGGAAAATAGGAGGAGGAAGGAATATTAGATGTGTTGCCTCCTTGAGTCATTTGTAAAAAAATAATAAAGGCGATACACAAATAAATTAATAGTTTAAAATGTGAGGGCCTTCGATTCCCAGAATTCCCCAGCCAGCACTGAAGTCGACCCGTCTCAGAGTTGCCCAGAGGGTGGCTCATGTGAACTCAGCGCAAAAAAAATATAATCTTCTCTGTCCTTTTTGGGGAGCCAGTTATCAGCTGCCCCCACCCTAAGCAAAGATAACCATTGTGCTTTCCTCCTCACCCTCTTCCAACCCCAATAAGCAGCCCCAAACGTCAGCCTTGAGGGCAAAACAAGGAGAATTCCCTTGTCCAGTTCTGTGTCTTTGGCTCGTGTTTCCAAATTGAAGGTTCGAATTTCAAATTCCGATTCACGACCTCCCTTTCTCAGTGAAATTCATCCAAGCATGACTTTTCTCCCTGCTCACCCTGTCCCTCCCTCCCTCCCTCCCTCTTCTTTTTTTTTTAAAAAAAACAGTTATTGATTTATATTGATTGATAGATTCAGTTTCTGTAGCTAACCCTGCCTGCTGCCACCTTCGCTGAGTTGAAGTAAGGTTCTCTTAATGTGAAAAAGGCTGCCAGTTTTAACTTTTGGGAATAACTTCATAACCCAAAAGGTGCTTTTTTTTCTCCCCAAAAGGCTTTCTTGGGCTATTTCTTGAAAATGTTTCGCTTCTCATCCCAGAAGCTTTTTCAGTTCAGTACCCAGATGTTCTGAAGAACTGAAGAAGCTTCTTAAATGAGGAGCGAAACGTTTTCAAGGGAAAAAAACCCAAGAAATTTTTTGACAAGAAACAACTCTAGGCCAACCATGATCTGGATGATTGAGAATTTCCACTGAGATTCATAGAGACTCATAAGCATGTAGAGCGTTTCTTTGTAAACATGTCTTGTTTCTCTGGCATGTGGAAAAAAGGAGAAGATACAACAAGGAAGAACTTCTCCTGGCATCTTTTGGGGTCCCTGCCCACTGAATGAAAAATAATCTTTTGCAGAACTAAACAAAGAGCTCCTTCTACGTTCACACAATGTGCAGAATAACGTATCAGGCTTCGCAAACCACAGCTCCAGGGTTTCTATCAGAGGTGGGTTGCAGCAGGTTCTGACCAGTTCTGGAGAACCGGTAGCAGAAATTTTGAGTAGTTCGGAGAACCGGTAGTAAAAATTCTGACTGGCCCCCCTCCCTCATCTATTCTCTGCCTCCCGAGTCCCAGCTGATCGAGAGGAAATGGAGATTTTGCAGTAACCTTCCCCTGGAGTGGGGTGGGAATGGAGATTTTACAGTATCCTTCCCCGCCACACCCACCAAGCCATGCCACGCCCACCAAGCCACACCCACAGAACCGGTAGTAAAAAATGTTGAAACCGACCACTGTTTTCTATCACTTACAAAAGCCCAACAGACAAAGAGAAAACTCTCTAGTCCAACCCTGCGCAGATCTTCTGGTTCTCACACAACTTTCTGCATCCCAAACTACACAACCCTGTTTTAACCAAGCTTAGCGGTTCTGTGTGCGACTCCAGGGAATGTATCTTTGGGTGAAAAAAAAACACACAACACAACACTGTGCGTTTGCAATTCACCATCATGTCAGGTTGGCCTTTGCTGTTGCCAGCGGCGCCCAGTTTTCAAAATTGGAATTTAATAAACGCAAAGTGTGAAATTCAAACCTGAGGTCTAACTGTCGCTCTGGCTGTCAAACGTTGCGTTTTCAAATCTATCGGTGGTTCTGCAAAGTCTGGGACAGCAGAAGTTCTCAATCGAACGGTTTCTACGTGCTCCAGACCTTTGATACTGAAAAATTATTGCACGACACGAAGACGTCACTGGACACATATTATGAAGAAGATAATTACAGAGATTTTTCTTCCAGTTGCGTAAAACCTTCGCCTGTGGAAGAGCTGGATTCACATAAAACAGAAAATTCGCTTGTGGGCTTTATTTCTTCGAAACGCTCATGTTTTTAATAGTCGTCGCTTTAAGCGTTTATCCTGCTTGTGCAAAAAAGTGTGTCGGATCATAAGATAATTCATTCAGATGCTGGACTAACTAACACAATCCAATCCTTTGGCTCTGGATGAGCTATTCACCCGAAAGAATTAGAATTAGTAGAGTTACAATACTTTATTTGACCAAGTGCGACACAAGGAATTTGTCTCCGCTGCAGAAGCTCTCAGTGTACACGCAAAGCAACAGAATCATCATCATCATACCATAAGATAAGAGGAGGTAATAAAGAAGAGAAGAAAGATCTGTGTAGTTACTAAACAGTTGATTGACCTTCCAGGCATAGGGGCTCAAACAACGCACAAAATTTCATAAAATTTAACTATTGGCTGTCGCAAACCAGTAAAGACGCCGGCATCGGCACAGCCAATGGCTGAAAAACTTGCAAACTTAAACTTTACAAAACTTGGAAAGTTAAACTTAGCGACAAAATGATTCGGCAGCAAACATTCAAATACTTTCTTTAATCAGATTCAGCAGGGATCGAAGCCGAGCTGAATTCAAGGATACCGGGTTAGAAAGACCCAAGTAAGGCACCATCTGCCAGCCTCAATCTTCCCCAGACCCCCATCGGGGTCTTTGATTCACCCAAAGAGACCCCCTACCCACCCACTCAGGGACTTGGGTTCACCCAACACGTTCACACCTGAGAAATGATTACACTAAGTTTGAAGATGAATCTTCTGCATTCTGTAGAGATTGCAGAAGGTAGAAGGTGTACCTGTAGAACACCTTCTGTAGAAGGTGGCTTGTTTGGCTAGCTATGGGTGGATGCCACCGTTGGATCCCAGATAGTGGAGTAATTCGGCACCCCTAGGAAACGTGTTGTGTGAAGGCAGCCTAGGGAGACCCTTTTTCTTCTCCCCCACCTAAAGAAGGGCTTTCTAGCAGATGCTTACCTTGCAACTTGAGAAGGGAGTCGTAAACCTTGCATTGCATCTGTCCCGTGCTCTGCATGACACAGGACATCCAGAGGCCTTCATAGATGGCTTGGGCCGTCACAATGTTGTCCCCTGCGTAGGAGGAGATCTTCCACTGGGGCATGGCCGTGCTGACCACGATGCCAATCCAGCCGATGAAAGCCAGGACGAAGCCCAACATCTGGAGACCGCCATTAGCCATCCTGCTTCAACAACGCTGCAAGACGCAGGACCCAGCTGGACCGAAAGAGGGGCAGCGGCTGGATGGGGTTGGCGTTGGAGAAAGAGCCCGGAGCAAACCCGACCCGTTCTTCAAAGCGGAGAGACTGCGCTGGCAAAGGAGGCTCTTCTTCTTCTGAGTCCTCTGGCTCTTTTGTAATCCAGAAGTTTCTCCAGAGCGCACGGCTGGATTCAGAACTGGGAGTGAAGCTCTCAACATCTGCGCTGCCTTTTAAACCAGGCGCCTTTCCAGCGCCCTCTGGTGGTTTCACTTGGCCATTTCACTGAAAGTCCTGTCATCTCTCCCCACCCCCAGTAGCACATCTGGGGCACATCCTCCTCCTCTTTCTTATTTTTAATAGCAATAAGAGCGTTTTTTAAAAATATATTTTTCCAAGTATTTTGGGTTTTTTGCTTCCCAGTTTTGCACGAAGCCAACCGTAGCAGAAATCTGTGTTGACACTCATCGAATTTACAGGACGTTTAAGGTTGGCGCCTCCCTTTGGGAATGCAGCCTGTTCCCTACCTGGCCACAGGTGAGTCACCTGCACAGGTAGAGCAGAACCTTCGGGTGAGAGTGGACGTATTGCACATCGAAATGGGTTCAGGAGGTGCCTCTTGAACCATATTCCAGTTCAGGAAAATCCATTATTGATTATTTATCTCAGTCCCAAAATTTCTCTTGCTAAGAAAGACAGTTGTTAAGTGAAGCATTGCAGTTGTCAAGCTAGTAACCTGGTTGTTAAGCGAATCTGGCTTCCCCATGGACTTTGCTTGTCACAAGGTCGCCAAAGGGGATCATGTGACCCCGGGATGCTGCCACCGTCATAAATACCAGTCAGTTGCCAAGTCATTTTCATCACGTGATCAGGTGCTGTGATGAAAGTGTGAAAAAGTGTGAAAAAACATTTGTAAGTCACTCTTTTCAGTGCTGTAAACTTCGAAGGGCCACTCAATGAACTGAATCAGAATCAGAGAAGAGCTGGAAGGGACCTTGGAGGTCTTCTAGTCCAGCCCCCTGCTCGAGCAGGAGATCTAGACCATTTCAGACAAGGGACTGTCCAGCCTCTCCAGTAAACCAACTGTCGTAAGTCAAGGACCCCCTGCATTTATTAAAGTTTTATCCCACCCATCTCCCCTCAAAGTGAGTCTGGATGGCTTACAAGTTATCAAACTAGTAAAAACTAATTAAAAGATTAAAAGGGCACAGATTAAAACATTATTAAAAGTTGCTTATTCCCCAGATTTGGCCCTCGCACCGATCAAAGGCCTGCGGGGGAGAGAGAGAGGCTGTCTGGGGGTTCCCGTCAGCTGGGACGGGTGTGTGTTTGTGTGTCTGGGTAGACAATGGGCTGTGTTTATTTATTTTTGTTTACCCACTGAGTTGTCGAACCTGTCACACTCCTAAGGACCGACTGTGGTGTGCAACTCATTAAGAACATTTTTCCACAAATTAAAAACCAACATCATAAACCCATGAGCCAGCAGCCCCAGGAGAAGACGGAAGCATCATACGGGTGGTTCTCGACTTACAACCGTTCCCAGTGACAGCTGAAAACTTACGACGAGTCCTCACACTTACAGCCAACACAGCATTCCCGATGGTTACGTGATCAAAATGTGGACGCTTGGCAACTGGCATGTATTTATGACGGTTGCAATATCCCGGGGTTTTTTGATCACCACTTGTGGCCTTCCCAGCTGGGGGGGGGGTAGCCAGATACACTTAACGACCAACTGACTCACTTAACAACCAGAGTGATTCGCTTAGGAACTGGGACAAAAAACGTTGTAAAATCAGCCGAGACTTATTAAAGCAACTCTTTTAAGCAACTTTCCCTGCTTAGCAACTAAAATTCTGGCTCTAATAGTAGTCGTAAGTCAAGGATTACCTACCTGAGTTAAACTCTACTCTCTTCCACCCCCTGCCACTATCTCACCATCTTCTCTTGGCCGTAGCAGACCTCTTTCTTTTTGTTAATTTCCCTTTTCCTGCCAACATAGCCAAAAATCTTTTGTCTATTCATGCTTGTTGCTTCTGTTGAAAGTCTTTGGGCTATTTTTCTGCAGGAATTTGCTACTTGCTAGTGGCTAGTTGCTACTTGCTACTTGCTAGTGGCTAGGAGAAATGCAGTGGCTCAGTGGCTAAGACGCTGAGCTTGTCAATCGGCAGTTCAGCGGTTCGAATCCCTAGTGTCGCATAATGAGGTGAGCTCCCGTTACTCGTCCCAGCTTCTGCCAACCTAGCAGTTCGAAAGCAGGCAAAAAATGTAAGTAGAAAAATAGGTGGGAAGGGAACAGCGTTCCGTGCGCCTTTGGCGTTGAGTCATGCCGGCCACATGACCACGGAGACGTCTTCGGACAGAGCTGGCTCTTCGGCTTTGAAACGGAGATGAGCACCGCCCCCTAGAGTCAGGAATGACTAGCACATATGTGCAAGGGGAACCTTGACCTTTACCTTTAGTGGCTAGTAAGTTGTTTGTTTGTTTTAGAAGATTCTCCCTGGAAGTTTTCAAGAAAAGATTGCATAACCATTTCTCTGGGATTTTATAAGGACTCCTGTCTCGGACAGGGAGTTAAATTAGATGACCTCCAAGGTCCCTTCCGGTCCGATTCTGCAAGTCTATGATTCTTCCTTTTCCTGGGCACGTCCCTTTCAGCACCTAGTTCCCTCAAAAAAAGAAAAAACTAACCTTTGCATCTACAATGGCTTGGACAATCACTTAAGTATGAGCCAGCCTTGTGTTGCAGCTGCCAAAAAAGCCAACACAATCCTAGGCTGCATCAACAGAAGGAGAGAATCAAGATCACACGAAGTATTAATATCACTTTACATGGCCTTGGTAAGGCCACACTTGCAATCCTGCATCCAGTTTTGGTTGCCACAATGTAAAAAAGATGCGGAGACTCTGGAAAGAGTGCAGAGAAGAGCAACAAAGAGGATTTGGGGACTGGACGCCAAAACATACGAAGAACGGTTGCAGGAACTGGGCATGTCTAGTCTAATGAAAAGAAGGACTAAGGGAGACATGATAGCAATGTTCCAATATCTCAGGGGTTGCCCCAAAGAAGAGGGAGTCAAGCTCTTCTCCAAAGCACCTGAGGGCAGGACAAGAAGCAATGGGCGGAAATTAATCAAGGAGAGAAGCAACCTAGAACTAAGGAGAAATTTTCTGACAGTGAGAACAATTAATCAGTGGAACAACTTGCCTCCAGAAGTTGTAAATGCTCCAACACTGGAAGTTTTTAAGAAGAGATTGGACAACTATTTGTCTGAAATGGTGTAGGGTTTCCTGCCTAAGCAGGGGGTTGGACTAGAAGACCTCCAAGGTCCCTTCCAACTCTGTTATTCTATTCTATCCTATTCTGCTTTTTTTGCAGACTTTCCAATCATCCCGAGGATTGCTCCGCACGGGATCCTATTCGGTAGTCCTATCTTTCTCTCTCTCCCTCTGTTTGTTGTCATTGGCTTGCTTGACAATCCTGTGTTTGGCTTGGAGCAAGGATGTTTTCTCGAGCGAAACTTGGCTCAAATGTGCCATCGCTCCTTTTGCAATTCCAGATGCCGAAGAGGTGATATCCGAGGGGTTCAAAGATACATTTGACTGGAACCCAAAGTTTTCATGCTTTCTTTCCCCAGGTTCACAAGGAGCCCAAGACCAGAGGCCCAAGGAAGGGGGCTTTTAGGATAAGTGGGGTGTAAACCTTCATCTCTCAAGATCGTATTTTTTCAGTCCAACAGTACTTTGCAAAAAAAAAAAAACCTGCTTTGTTGATCGATCTTGCTCTATTCTGGGAGGCCTCCGGGGCTGTTTGCCTCCCTCCGTATAATCTAAATAATCCTGAACCGGATAATTTTTCAGACAGGGCTGGTCCTCACCTTTGGCAAACAGACCACAGCCGCCAAAAAACAAAGGTGCTCGGAGCACCAGATGTTTTGAATCCAGCCCTTTCCTGGACGTTGCCTCATCTTGATGACTTGGGAGATTTTGTTTTTTTTTTATACCTGCTTAACTTGGAACAATTTGCTTTGCAAGTTGGCTACCGGGTGTTGATAACGGTTATTAACTCAACCTGGGGAGCTCAACCGCAACGGGGATTCAGAAGAGGGAAAACAAACGAGGAGAAATGGTAAACAGTCAACAGTCAATCCTTCACTCCGAAAATAGCCACCTTATTGCCTCTGCTGCCCGTTCTGCCGAGGTTGCAGATTTGTTCCCATGTCTCCCTAGGTTTTGCAATCCTGAAGTAGTGATGCCTCTCGCTTCTCAACCAGGGTTTCCCAACCTCGGGAAATTTAAGAAGGGTGGACTTCGACTCCCAGAATCCCCCAGCCGGCATGCTTTAAGATGGGTGGACTTCAACTCCCATAATCCCCCAGCCGGCATGCTTTAGGACGAGTGGACTTCAACTCCCATAATCCCCCAGCCAGCATGCTTTAAGATGGGTGGACTTCAACTCCCATAATCCCCCAGCCAGCATGCTTTAAAATGAGTGGACTTCAACTCCCATAATCCCCCAGCCAGCATGCTTTAAGATGAGTGGACTTCAACTCCCATAATCCCCCAGCCGGCACGCTTTAAGATGAGTGGACTTCAACTCCCATAATCCCCCAGCCAGCATCTTTAGGACGAGTGGACTTCAACTCCCATAATCCCCCAGCCAGCATGTTTTAAGATGAGTGGACTTCAACTCCCATAATCCCCCAGCCAGCATGCTTTAAGACAGGTGGACTTCAACTCCCATAATCCCCCAGCCAGCATGCTTTAAGACAGGTGGACTTCAATTCCCATAATCCCCCAGCCAGCATGCTTGTCAGCACTTCAAGCTGCATTTACTCTAGTGCTGACATAAGAAGGAGAAGCGGAGGCGTCTGGAAAGGGACGTTTGACTTTTCACCTACTTATTTTCCCTGGAGATAATATCCGCTAGGAGATGGGATGGGAGGGGGGAAATTCCTTTGAGCTGGAGCGGTAGATTAGGGATAGAATGACTTGGAAGATGGCCAATGAGTGCAGAGGAGTGGGGAACGGAAAGGGGGGGTTTTGGGTCTGGGAAGTCAGTGTTGGCTGCGATGGAGTCGGAGTTAGAAGGTCGTGCTTAATAAAATGGGAGTTTTTCTTCAAAGACTTTGTTTGAAATGCAATTTATTTGAGACGACCTCGAAACCTGACAATGTTTTAAGACGAG